CCATATGAGGTCTCTGCTGTTCCTTAAGAGCAGCCCCAGATACTCTGGTTTGTCAGTGATGCCTCTGTACACAGTGTCACAGCAGCCCCTGATTCTGTACTAGGTGAGTTGTAGGGTTAAAGCGTTACAGGGGCAGAGGGTCATGGTCTGTGCTAGATCAACACTGTCATTCCAATATGCGAAAAAATTTGTCTGTGTAATGTTCAGTCCTGTTTAGTTTGAGCCTCAGACTGTTCCTTTATCCATGCACAGCAGGACGCTGATCTAGAAGAAGAATGAAGTAGGTGGACATTTTTTTCCAAAAGCTGAATCTTGCAGTCGGGCGGTGCTTTGACTCCATGGATGTTGTGATGACCTGTTCAGGTGTCTCCCAAGTTTCACTTGGGAAGAAAGTGGGTGTTTGTGACCAATAATTATTACCATTCTTTTCCCATCTCATATTAAACAAACTTGAAGCTATTTTTGAGCATGTTTTTATCTTTCAGATGTGACTTCTCAACGGGAAAGCACTGATGTTTTAATGTTGCCTCATACAATCCCTAACGCGCATTTTTTTTTCCAGTTGCTGAAATGTCTTTTTTCTCCCTAGCTAACAAACATGCAAAGAAATTTCCTTTAAATTTCCTTTTCAAATTGGGAGCTGAACCCTAAAATTACAGCGGTTGAGCGTAGGAGGTGAATCAAAGTCCATACGTTTGCTTCCGACGTTCCCCAGTCCCAAATAAAATAAGTGTTTCTTTGGAATAGATGCTTTCAGTGATAAAGATGCACTTCTTGTAACAGCAGTCAGCATTACCTGCCTGCTACGGTACCACATAGCTTTAATTTTCCCGTATGTGCACCTTGAGTGCTGAGTGGGTCGGAGTCGATGGCAGCAGAGGTGGCCGTGCTTGTGCCACACCCTGCCTGTTGGGCTGAGGGTGCCTGGGAGGCTGTGAGAGAATGAGACACTGCTTTTTACCTTCCTCTGGAAAATCGTTTTAGCCAGCGCTGCACTTGCAGGCTTCTCCTGTGTAGTTGGTTTGTGACTGGACTTAACTGTGGCAGTGTATAAAAGATTTTGATATTCTGTGAAATACCATGTAGAATTTAAATTTGATACTATAATAATTGAGTCCCTGTGACACTGGTTTTTTGTTTTAACTTCTTTGGGGTTGGCACTAATCTATCTTTTTTTTTTTTTTTCCAAGATGCTGTGAGAAACATTTCATCCAAATGCCAAATAAATTGTGTTCTGTAAGAGAAATGTCCTGTTCCAATGTCTCCTGATTTCTGCGTCAGTGTGGTTCCCCAGCGTTGCGAAGGAAGGCTTTGTTAAATCACACTTCTGAGCTGTGATCTTGCAGAAGATCAATAGATGCGTTTAACATGGAGCAGGGAGGCTGCCAAAGTCCCTGTTATGCGAATTCCAGTGGGATTTACCTGTATTAGTGTAATTTTAGGAAAGTCTTGGGGTTATACCCAAGAAGGTGAAGTGCAGTATATTCCTGCTGCCCTCCCCAAGCCCGGGGGAAGGTGCTGAGTGCCGGGGCAGGAGGTTGTGCTGGATGGAGGGGGTGGTCTGGACCCCCAGCTCCTGTTTTCCACGAGCCGCTGGGCGCGCAGTGCTTGCTGTGAGCGCTGTGGAACAAGTCCCCGCAGCGCTGCGGGGCCGTCCCGTGCCCTGCTCGGGGCCGTCCCGTGCCCTGCTCGGGGCCGCAGGATGCGTTCATTGCTGAAAGCCATCCAGGGGCAGTGTCATCGTCGCTGCGGGGGCCAGGCAGGGCTCCACTCCCCCTTTCCTGTGCCTGCAGAGGGCAGCTGCCGCCGCAGCCGCCGCCGTCGCTGCTGGACTTGAACCAGCACAGCTCCAGAGCTCCATCCCCGCGGGATGCTGGGTCAGCTGAAGGCGATGCGATGCAGCCCTTCCTTCGCTGCTGGTTTGGGGGAGACAAACATCCCTCCACAGCAGCTGCCTGATGTCACGGGCGCTTGGAAGGGACTCAGTCTGGCGGGGACCCCGTGGGGCTCTGCCTTTGCTGGAAGATCCTGTGCAGGTACAACTTGCCCTTCCCTCTTGCCCCTCGTTGCCTGGGGACAGGACAGCTCCCACGGGGAGCAGCCTGGATTGCCTGGAGCATGGCCACGGCTCTCGGGGCTCCCCACCGCTCCCCAGGGACACATGTGTGGAGGGCTGCCCTGTCAGTGTTGACCCTCGGCTGCTGTGGTAGAGCATTGCTGGGCAGCCTCCTGCTGTAAACTCTTAGCAACTGTGTTCAGCACGGCGTGTCCGGGGCCCTCAGCCCCTGGGAGAGCGCCAGGGCCTGAGGAGCGTGTCAGACACACGAGGGGCCGTGTGCTGGCAGTGCCCCCGGGGGTGCCAGGCCGTGGGGGGGGAGATGTCGCTGACCCCGGCGGCGGTGAGAGCGTGGGATGAATGAAGGGGCTGTGCAGTGGCGTGTGGCCAGTGTGCATCTGCTGCCCACAGTGCCTCCTTTGTGCTTGCTGCTGCTGCGCTCCCTGCCCTGCTCCCGGCTCGCTGCCTGGGCTAGCAGCAGCTTGTTATGGGGATCAAAGATCCTTATGGCAAATCAGGGGTGGCTGGAGTATTTATTGCCCATGAACTTTACCTATTTGCCTCTCTGGATGCCCATAACCTTTCACGCATCCATCTGTGGGTGATGTGAACCACACTCTGGCATCTCAAGTCTTTGTCTTGTCACTGTCCCTGTCAGCCCAGGTCCCCGGCCAGGCTCCCAGGCGGATGTGTAGGATTTACCTCCAGGAGCTGTTCCTGGCACCTCCACTGGGTGCTGGCACAGGGCTTGCTGACGGTGCACGTGGTGGGGGTTCCCAGCACAGTGGCACCGTGCCCACAACTGATCGATGGCTGCAGCTTAAGGAACTATTTTTATATCTCAGTGATATTTTTTCCCCTGTCCTGGCTCTTGCCCTTGGTGCTGTGACTACACGTGGCTGCAGGAACCTCGCCTGGCTCCGTGGTGGCAGCCTGATGGACGTGGTGTCTCCCTGTGAGGACAGGACAGAGCTGCAGGATCAGCCGTGAGCTCAGCACGACCACCAACACATCAGCAAGGCCAGCAATTTCAAGGTTTGATCTGGTTCCTATAGAAACTGGAGGTTACTCCTGCCTGGCACGGGTGCTGGCAGCCAGCGGTGCACCCTGGGGAGCGGGGCAGTGGGGATGGGCGGGAGCAGGGTGTGGCACAGCACCTCGGTGCTACTGCTGTCTTTCCACATGCCTTGCAGACCCCTCTGCTTCCTCGCTCTGCTCCTGCCTCTCGTCGGGGCTGTGCTGAGCCCCACTCTGCTCCTGCCCTCCTTGCTAGAAATCACCCCCAGAGAAGCCTGAAATCCAAAAAAAGTGTTCTGGGGAGCAATAGCTAGGGGGTGGGGGGTCTCATCAGCTCCTGACCCTAAGGGTCTTGGGCTTCTCCTTCACTGCCTGGCAATACAGGCTGTCCTGCTGTGGGTGGGTGGAAGAGGTGCTACTTGGCAGGCTCATGTCTCCAATGGAGGTTTTGGTCTCACAGGTGCCAGAGCAGCTCCTCTCTTTCCTGGCAGTAATGGGCAGCAGGCTGCAGACCTGGTGCAGAATACCTCATCCCCGGAGCGGGGGCCAAGTGTCAGCCGTGGCGCAGATCCAGAGCAGCTTGGGGGAGACCTGTGCTGCTGCCCTCCTCTGCTGGGGTCCAGATGCAGCTTGGTGCTGCCCAGGTACCTGCCTGGGGCTGGCGCTGGCTTGGGGTCACAGGGGTGCCCCAAAGAACCCCTGCTGAGGATGAACCTCTTGTAGCACATGGCAGCCAGGCAGTTCTGAACCGGAGCCCATTCCCGGCCAAGCCGGCAGCAGGAGGCTGCTTCCTGCTGCCCTCGCGCTGCTGCCGGGTTTGTTCATCCTGGCACTGGCTCGGCAGAGCTCCTGGCCAGGGCCAAGTGCCGGCGAGGGGCGCTGCAGCCTGGGTCCCGTGGCCTCCTTTCCACTGCTGCCTGAGGATGGCAGGGATATTTTAGGAGAATGTGACAACACCATACTCCTGTGTTCTCACCCCCTTCCTACCTGCCTACTGAGAGACTACAGCTCCTTTGGTGAGATCCTGGCTCCTGTGGGACCTTCCTGGACAGGTGCAATGGGAACGACGTGTGCTCACTCCATGATGAGGAGCTGAAGAGCTGCCTCCACCAGCACAGGACGCCTGCACTGGGTGCATAAGGCTTGTGCCCCAGTGCTGCCCCTCTGCCCTGGCCAGCTATGGCTGTGAGAGCCTGAATCACTGCAGCCTTGTGCCCACTGAGAGGAAAGGGCTGAATCCTGCCCCACCAGAGTGTGGCTCCTTGGTGAGCCCAGCAGCTGAGGGTCCCCTGTGGTGGGGCTGTGGAGGCCACCTGGGCACTGAGGAGGTGCTCACTGGACTGTGCTCACTGGGCTTTGCCCAGGCAGGGGCCTCTGTTTTCAGGGCTCAGCTGGGTTTGGTCTATGGGTCCCCATGGCACCACCTGCCCCTCAGCAGGTGGGAGCCACCATGCTCAGGTGCGGGAGATGCAGGACTCGCTGCTGGCTGGGGCATTGTCAAAGCTGGGGGCGAGAGTATGTCCCACAGCATGTGTCTGCAAGAAGTGGACAGGGTATAGGGCAGAGCTAGTGCCCTCAGCCCCTTCTGTCTACTGGCAGCCCCCTGAATCTCATCTGTAGTCCCACACACTGCGGGGGTAGGATGGGGCGCAGAGGGAATGCCGCTGAACCCCAGCTTTGGGGATGCAGAGCGGGATGGTACCGGGGGGCACCCCTCGGCAGGGCGGGGCGGGCAGCGCTTGCACCCGTGGGATCGCGCCAGCCCCCGCTCCCCGCCTGTCCCTGTCCCTGTCACCGGAGGCAGTGACCTGGCGGGCGTGGGGGGCTGGCTGGGGGCCGGGCTCTCCCCGCTCCCTCCTAGCAGCCGAGGAGTTAAAAACTCAGCCCGGGTGATGAATATGTAAGAGCAGAGCCCAGGCTGGAGCCGAGCATCTCCCGGGCTGCGGGCGCTGCCAGCGCTGCCGCCCGCCCCAGCCCAGCACCAGCCCCGCCGGGCGCACTGCGGAGGGACGGGACGGGGCAGTGCGGGGGTCCCCCCGCTGCCTCCCGCCGCCATGGGCCCCACCGGGCTCGGCATAACTTTCCTGACTCTGCCCCTCGTCGTGCGAGCGGCCACGGGAGGTGAGCTGAGCCCCGGGGCAGCGGGACGGGGGTCCCGCGGCGGGAGAGAACGGGAGCGTGGGGCTGGGGGTCCGTAGGGGTACCGCTTATTCCATTCCCTTCCCACGCGCTATGGGATGATGCGGGCTGGGGAGGATGGAGGCAGGGACTGGGGGACCTGGTCTGGCCCAGGACCCCTCTCCTGCATTCCCACTGCCCCCCTCCCCGCTGCTGAATGTCCCTGGGCACCGCTGGGCTTGGGAGGTCTCAGCCCGCCCGGGGCTCTGTGCTGGCCAGGCCAGAGTCCCCTTGGGGCACTGGGGCTTGGGCTCAGCCCATCCGCCCCACAGACCTGCACTGTGGATGAAAGCTGCGAGCGAACGGGGCTGCCAGTCCCGGGCCGAGGCGCTGGGTGCTCACCTGCATCTGGGGCTGGCCAGTGCTACCTTGGCTCCTGCCAGAGGATGCTCGAGGACTGGTGCATGCAGGTCTGAAGATTTTCCAGGAGTTCAGCTTTCCCCTGGACCCCGAGATCCCTGCCCTGGGGATGGACTGTCTGAGTCCTGCACTGTCCTGCTCCCAGTTCTCCTCTGAGGCTGGTGTCTCTTGTACCACTGTAGTGAGAATTCGAATGCAGTGCCACAGGCTGGGGCCATGAGCAGCACAGGTGGAGGCAGGCAGGGCTGCCTTTGTCCTGCTGGTCTGAGTGGCAGTGGCTGGCACAAGAGCATGGCTCAGCTCCCCTACAGCCAGCCTGCTGGCATGGCCCCTCAGCCATCAGCAGGGACTGTTTGTGTAGGCTGGCCCTGGACAGCACCAGTTTGCTCCTGGTTGCAAGGAGCAGGATGGGGAGCTGAGGAGGGAAGGGGTGCAGTCCCCAGCTCCCATTGCAGAGCTGATGGTCCTGGGCAGATGTGCAGGCAGCAGAGCAGGAACAGGGCTCCAGCTTTCTTGGCAAACCCTTGGTATCCCTGTGTCTGCTGTGCCAGCACTTGTCACCACACGGGTGGTGCCCGCAGCCCTCCTGAGAGCGGGCAGCTGGTGGGAGTTCAGCAGCTCTGGCTGAGGTGGTCCTGAGTGATGGGACAAGCCATCACCCCCACAGTGTGGGCACAGGCCTGCCCACTGCCTGCCTGCTGCAGCCACCAGCAACTGCCTGCTGCTGCCAGCCCACCTGCGGGAGCCATGGGGAGCACCAGGAAGGGCTGTCACAGCCCCCTCGGCTCCCACTCACCCACGGCTGCAGCAGGGCTGCAAGGCATCTGCTGTGGGGTGAGGGGCTGCCTTGCTAGGATGGGTAGGGGGGGATGGCTCTACAGTAGCTGGGGAAGGAGCACAGCGAGCAGCAAGGCTTGGCTGCCTTGGAGCAGTGATTCTGAGGGAGGTTTCCCTGTGGAGCGGCTGGGGGAGGCAGGGAGGGTGCGAAAACACCAGCCAAAAATAACTGGGATGAACACAAGTGTCGGTGGGACCCCAGGCTGCAATGAGGGATGTCCTTACTGCTGGGGCCTGGGCTCAGCCCTGTGAAGGTTTGGGAAGGGGTACCTGTCTCCATCACCTGCCCTGAGCTCTCCTTTCTCCTGCAGGGCAGTGGTGTTACGACTCGCAGGACCCCCAGTGTGGTAAGTGGTGCCAGGTGTGGGAGGGGGGCTGTCGGGGCTGTGTGGAGCTTGGACCCCACAGTGCCTGGCCAAGGGCACCCTGGGCAGCATCAGAGAGGTCGCAATGGGAAGCATGGCATGGAAAAGGGCAAATGCCCCCATGTCACTCTAAAGTGGGAATGGTTAGAGGAGCTTTGCTCTGGAGTATGCTGGTGTAGAGACTTGACAAACACTCAAGCCCCTCAGAGTGACTTGGCCCCACCCCTCACTCCAACTAGATCTGGGTGCTCCTGTGGCAGCACCAGCTTTCCCCCTTTCACCTGAAACAAATTAAATCCTGGATTTAAAATATGCCATTGGAAACCCCAGTGCAGCACAGGCAGCAAGGGTCTTGGAAGGCTCAGGGGCCTGACTGGAGAAGGGACAGCTCCCTTTGGGGAGGCAGCAGGCCTGCCTGTCTGGCTGGGGAGAGAAGTATGCCTGGGGGCACTTTGTCTCAAAACATGCAAATAGCTTGTAAGAGGTTAATTAAAGATCATCAAGCATTTAATCAGCTGTTACGGCCCAACTGTTTTATAGCTCTTGGGTTTACATGCCCCGTGGCTCGTGAGTATGGATTGCTGAGCTCCGCTCATCCCTGTTGGAGCAAGGATTGGTCTTTCCCAGTTTAATGTTGTCAGGGTGGCGAGGGCAGGTTTTGGCAGGGGAGAGGGGCCGGTGGGAAGCGGCTCGGGCAGCGTGGAACCGGCTGTGTGCCCTCAGCCAGCTGTGTGCCCATGTGGAATGGTCCCTTAATGAACACACCAGGTAATTTGTGGGGCCTCTCAGTAACACCATGCCAAAAAGCTGGTGGGACACCGGCACAGCCAGGCTGTGGCTTCCAGGGCTTCCAGGCAAAAAGTTGCCTAGAGTAATGGGAGGAGAACATAAAGGGACAGGGCTGAGCCCAGGAGGGCAGGAGGTGGATTCAGTCTACAAGTGCCTGTGGTTTTGTCTGCTGAAGAGGAAGGTAAACGTTAGAGCTGAACCATGGGGCACTGCTGGGGGAACAGTTCCCCAAACCCTGGCTGTAGCCAAAGGCTGCCCAGCCATAATGTGTGCCAGAGCAGAGCCAGCAGTGTCTGCAGAGGGATGCACTGAGCTCCCTCGGGACTGAAGGTGCCCTGAGTGGACAGGGCTGGTGACACTGAGGGAGCTCCTGTTACCTGGCTGGGACTGAGCCCAGGTACTGGCAGTGCCCAGTGCATTCTGCAGCCTGGGCTGCACCAGGTGAAGGAGTGAGGTGTCACAGCAGCCACACTGGAGCAGTGACCAGAAGGGTAGCTGGCTACATCCCCCAGTTGTGGATGCAACGAGTGTTGAAAGAAGAGCTGATGCCGGGGTGATGGGGACAAGCTACATATATGAAGTGTGTGGTCTGGCCATGGTGGCAGTTGTGGGGATGTCAGCTCACAGCCCCCCAGGCAGCACTGTGGGTTTGCAGTGGGTCCAGCTGGTTGCCAGTGCTGCCATGTCCTCACACAGCTCCTGCCATCGTGACCCCTCACCCCAGGAGCTGCTGATGGACATCGTGTGGTCACACAGGACCCTGTGTAGGATTCACCCCAGGATGAGTTGTGTGGCCAGGATGCACTGTCACCTGTCACAGCTGGACAGAACCAGCATGGGTAGGCTAAGATGTGCTGAAACCCAGGGACGGGCAGAAGTTTGGGAGAAAAGCTTGCCCTTCACCAGCACCAGTGGAGGGAGGGACACTGCTGCTCAGCTAAATATAATCCTCGGCCCCTCGAGGAAATCCTGCTGAATTATGGATGAGGCTGCAATAAGCCCCTGCTCATCAATAGGGAGGAAGCTCTGCTGGGCAGGAGGGCAGCTCCCACGGGATGCGAGTGAGAATGACTGGGCTGGCAGGGACAGCAGGGCTGGCTGGGGACACAGCCACCCATGGCCTTGTGTCCCCCCCGGGGGTGGCAGTGGCTCTGTGGCTGCCCGTGGTGCCCCTGCTCCTCCCCTGCAGGGCCCAGCCACTGGAAGGAGCTGAAAGCCTCATGTGATGGCAACAAGCAGTCCCCTGTGAACATCGACAGGCGTCGGCTGCAGCGGGACAGTGGCCTCGGGGACATCCTCTTTGAGGGCTACGACCAGGCTCCCCCCGGCAAGTGGAAGCTGACAAACAATGGGCACACAGGTGCGTGCTGAAGCTGGGCACCTTCCCCTGTCCTGGCTTCCTGGTCACCATCCCATCCTGGGCTTGGCTCTGCTGCCACTCCCGGGGGCTCCTGCCCTCCTCTTGCGGCTACTGCCCCGTGGATCTGTGTGGAGGAAGAGCCCAGGTGTACCAGGTGTTCCCCATCCTAAACCACCTTTTCACCCTGTCCTGCTGCCCTTGCAGTGATGCTGAGCCTGGCGAGCGAGTCGGCCTCTGAGCACATCACCATCAGTGGTGGGGGCCTCCCCGGCAGGTACCGCGCACTCCAGCTCCATTTCCACTGGGGCAGTCCAGCCGGGAATGGCTCTGAGCACACCCTTGATGGGCACCAGCTCCCTATGGAGGTAGGTGAGAAAAAGCCCCCATCACACTCTGGGTAGCCCATATCCATGGTGTTCTGGGAAGGGGTGGTGCCGGGGCATCCCAAGGCTGCCATGCAGCAGGTGATGGGACTCTGTGACGCTGCACCGATGGGTTCAGCTGTGCTCCTGCAGAGGCACCTGGGAGGTGAAAAAGCAGTTGACGTGAGACTCAAGGTGTTTCTTTACCATGTGTGGGCTGAGCTGCCTCATCCAAGGCACTCAGCAGTGTTTAGGGGGCTCTGTGCCCTGCCAGGACCACACACTGAGTTAGTGAATGCAAGCGAGAGCATGTGTGAGTGTGCTGTGCCAAGCACATTGGGATCCTTCTGGGTGAAAGAGGCTCTGCACCTCTAAAATATTCATTATCTGCCAGAGGAAAGCAGAATTTGTTTTGTGGCTGGTGAGCACCCTGGGACTGCTGGCCCCGTTTTGCACACCCTTCAAAGGATGATCACTTCATTGGGGTGCTTTGATCCTCCAAGCAGCCATCCCACAGATGTGCCAGTGGGACCAGGAGGGCTTTTCGGGGAGTAGTTGACTCAGTGTCTGGTCACCCCAGGTTGGTCAGAAGGATTGATAGGAGAGGGCCCTGCTGCCAGGATGTTGGCCAGGGGCAGTTGTCCACAGTTGGCTCCTCTGTGCTTTTCTCAGCTGCACATCGTCCACATGAATGTCAAGTACCGGACACTGGCAGAGGCCAAGGGGCATCCCAACGGGCTGGCTGTCCTTGGCTTCTTCTACCAGGTGAGTCTGTGGGGGCTCATGCTGCAGGCAAGAGGGACCCCCCAGAAACAGGGTGTTGATGGTGCAGCCAGGGGAGCATTGTACAGGTGCCCTGTGGGAGCAAGAAGGGGTAGGAAGGCTGGGTCAAGGCTAGGAGGTGCTGGGGAACCTCAATGGTGAAAGGTGCCAGGGCCCCCCACCGACTTTGTGCAAGAAGGTGTGGGCTGGGAACCCTTTCCTGCTGCTCTGCAACAATGTGGGGTGGAGGTGCAGCAGGCTCTGCCTGCAGGTGCTCAGCAGGACAGGATGATGCAGCTCTGCCCTGCCTGCCTTAGATGCTTCTTCTCCCCATCTGCAGGTCTCTGAAACCCCTAACACGAACTACAACACCATCGTGGTGGGGCTGAGAAACGTCTCCCATGCTGGTGAGTCACCTCCTCATCGGGGCAGGGCAGAAAGGAGAGACCCTGGTGTGGAAGGGCAGAAAGGAGAGACCCTGGTGTGGGAGGGCAGAAAGGAGAGACCCCGGTGTGGGAGGGCAGGGTTGCAGCCCAGAAAGCTGTGGGGGGGACCTGGCTGAAGGGAAACTGATGGAGGTGGCCCCACTGTCCCCACCACATCCCTGGCACAGGACAGGCTGAGTGCCCATGTCTTGCCCCACAGGGGACTCCGTGGATTTGGCCTCCACCTTCCGCCTGAGCACACTGCTGCCGCGGGCCGGCCGGCTCTCCGGGTACTACCGCTACCAGGGCTCCCTCACCACCCCCGACTGCAGCGAGGTCGTCGTCTGGACTGTCTTCGAGGAGCCAGTGGAGATCGGCCGGGAGCAGGTACTGGCGTGCACAGCCCCACGCTCCAGCATCTGAAAGGCTGGGCCCCCTGGGTGGGCCCCTCTCCTTGCCCTTCCTGACCCTTGAGCGAGAGCACAGACAAAGTCACCTCTATAATAATGCTCCTGGCAACTTGGGAATTAATTGCTTTTATGAGGGTTAAGTAATGGAGATGTGGCCACCTGCCAGTGGGAAGAAATCCCATTCATAGTGCTCTCCTGCCCAGCCTTGGTATTCAGAAAGAGGAATGGCAGTGAATCCACTGAAGCTCAGTACAGGCTCCGAGGAGGTGGGTGAATAGATGGATGGATGGATGGATGGATGGATGGACAGATGGATGGATGAATGGATGAAGTTCTCCTCTGCTGCCCAAGAATCTTAATAGGTGTCTGGCCTTGAGAGAGTCATGGGCCAGCCACTATTTAAGTGTTTGGTGCTGGCACCAAAACACAATTAGACCCTTTAAAACTCAAGACCTGATCCTTGTAAGGACCTTCAAGTCTGGCTTTAGGAGAGCAGTGGGGGGTGATGGGAGGACGCCCACAGGTGCAGGGACATGCCATGGGTCCTGTGCCATCAGCAGTGGGGCAGTAGGAGGGGCAGGCTGACAGTGGGCAGGGGTTTGGGGTGCCTGGTGAAGCAGCTGCCCATCCTGCCTCTCCCCTTGTGCAGCTGCAGGCGTTTGTCAGCACCCTCCACTTCCCACCCGACGGATCCAGGCTCCTAAAAATGATCAACAACTTCCGCCCGCCACAGCCCCTCCACAGCCGGAAGGTCTTTGCCTCCCGGGGGGCCACGGCCAGTGGTGGCTCCCTGCATGGGGGCCACCACGAGCTCCTCTCATCCCTGCTCCTCCTGGCCCTGCTCAGCCTCTTCTCACCAGCCCCGTAGGGTCTGGTCCAGCCTGTCACCAGTCTCCACATGAACATCATCACCCTGCTGCAGTGGCAATGAGGAGGTGATGTATCTGGTTCATGGAAAATGAGAAAAAACCAACAAAAAGCCTGTTGAGACCTTGGCTGGGTGAAGATTTTGTGAATCTGGATCTCTGCAGAGGTGGATCTCTGCAAGCCTGGAGCCACCCTGTAGCCAGGTGGGGGGAGCTGCTGGGAGGGCAACACTTTAGGGGCTGGAATAAAGCCAAGGTCCTCGCCAGTCGCTGCATCTTTGGCTCTGTTTGGTGTTGCTGGGGCAGGTGCTTGGCACAGGGTTGTGGGGTCAGTGGGGAGGGAGCTGGGGGACTGTGCCCAGGTGGCACTCAGGGATACCATCCCCTGCATGGTGTTGCAGGCTGGGCATGAGACCCCCCTCCCTCCTGGGCAATAAATCCCCAGGGCCAAATCCTGGCCCTGGCCCTGGCTCAGGGTCCGTGCAGTCCCTGTGCTGCAGACACCACCCTGTCACTATCCCCAGGGTTGGGGCTGGCTGCTGGAGGGATGGGGTTGTCACTGGGAACACAGCACCTGCAGTGCCCTTGTGCAGGGCACAGGGATCTTTGCACGGAGCTCATTTTGTGCTGGCAGGAATAGCTGCAGTGGCTGGCACTGCTGGGGCAGAGCTGGGTGAGTGGGGTGGTTCATAATTAATGTGCTGGAGCTCCAGGCATGTTCCCATCTCCTCTTGAATTATGGGTGAAGAGCACAGACCGTTATCTGGGAGCAGAGCGTGGCGGGCTGCAGTTTTTCATCCTTTCTGGAGGGAACCACTGCCAGTGCAGGGCTCCAACCCCAGGGGTGGCTGCAGCACCTGTGGGTGCAGGGGTCCTGAGAATCTCCCTGTGAGGCTTCAGAGGTGAAGCCTGTGCTGGAAGAGGCTCTCCGTGGGTGAAGGGGCCCAATCACAGCCCCCCTGATCCCCACGCCGGGGTACTGGGGCTC